CTTCCATCACGCCGTAGCACTTCACACTTAATGGTAAATGGGATCTCTACTGTGTCACTACTGGTGGCTGCACATTTCTCACTTCGATCGATTCAGGCACCTTCAATCCGTGCAACAGACAAAAACACAAATTAGGTATGTACGGCCAGGGTCCACACAGGGTATGGTGGTAAAAGAACTCTGTTTTCACCTTCGCAAAATGCACGCATGTCCTCTTGTGTCTGCAACCGACTTCAGAGACAGCCCAATATTGTAGGTGATGGGAGGCTCAGCCAGTCATTTCCTGGGCAACTTCTGCCGCCAGTATTTAATTTAAAAATGAGTTTTATTTATGTAAAGTTCCACTAAAGGGCAGTGTTTAAATTCACTTCACGGAATTTCGAACACTTTGGATCTGTCATGGTTTACTTGAGCTCTTGAGGGTTGTCACTATGAAATGCTCGACTTTTCCAAGTGCAAAAGGTTATTTTGGTCTGCCTTAGCTGTCTATTTTATTCTAATCCTTAAAAATTTGGGTGAAATGCACCTAAACAATTTAATTTTTTGTGTGATAGAAGGTTTTAATCTCTTAAAGTAAATCCACCTCCATATCGATACCCACTGCATTTCTGAATCGCCTCCTCTTTGAGCCATGTTTATTTGGGAATTGTTAATTTGACGTGTAGTTGGGTACTTCGCAAGTTCACTTAGAATTGCTCTTTGGATTGATTGTGCTTCACTTCAAGCATCACCATTAAGGTAACTTTTTTGTTCACAAAGTCGCTTCCATTATTGTAGTTTTGCTCGAACTTTAGGACTGTACCGAGGATGAACATTTGCCCTGTCTCAGTGCCTGGAAAATGTCATTTTTTGCCAATTTTGCCACCTTTCTAGTCCGACATAAGCAACTTCCTGCACCGGCAACTCGACATGATTCATCATCTCCAAAAAAGTTCATTTCACCCAGTTGGAAGGCCTATATTACATTGCAAGAAACTAATTTAAGGACTTTTTGTGATTGGCGGGTATGTTGCTAGAGTTTTGAGGGGGAAGGGACCACTGCAGCCCATGAAAGATGTGTTTCACTTGTACAATCATCCCTCTCACTCGTCTTTTTGAGGTTTAGCTTCAGTCATTCTAATTGTGACACACGCACAGACACCCACACACACTTGAGGGACTAAGAGCAGCTTTTATGTGTATACGATGCTAGTAGAATGCATGCCAAATGACTTGGTGCTTTATTTCCAACATTTACCAAAGTGGATTCACTTAAAACATTCAATTTCGTGGTAAGTGCGCATATGGGAGAGGAGGCACAAGTACACGCAGCTCATAAATCCACAAGCAGTGGGTAGCTGGGCATAAAAAGTAGTAGTTGGTTAGCCGATCATAAAGTGGAGGTAGATTGGACGAGACAACCGGTCCACTGGTGCGAGGAGCGTTAATGCTCTTATCGGTGCTTTTAATTTTACGGGTACCCGTAAAAGCGCTGTAGAGAGTTGTTGAACGCTTTCTTTCAACAGCATGTGGCTGCGAGCGAAGTCGTAAAATCTATGGACGCCTATCCGTATAAAAGACCTTTAGAGCTTTACGACACAACATCAATTCATTCAGTCTCTGAGCAGTGAGGCATTTGGTGCAATTGTCTCCGAGGTGTCGGTGACACTCCCGGCTCTGGTGATCTCTTGACCACGGGTTTGGTTGCTATTCCTGCAAACATTAAGCCACCTCATGGAAAGTCTGATAGTGAAGGAATAATTGATGAAATTTTAGAACAGATGAATATTTCCGTAGCAATGGTGAACACAACACTATCATAGTCACTTGAAATTTGGTGGATCAGCCTTGCTGACAAACTCACTCAGTATCTATCCACCCTTTCTGAATTCGTCTTTTTTGTCTGGTTCATCCATCCATCCTGAATCCTTTAATCAGTCTATCTGCCTCACCATCTCTATATCCATCAGAAAGAGCCAAAGAGCTTATCAAATTTGTCCCAAGTTTTCGCACTAGAAATTGATAGATAAAAGTATTTAATCATGTAAGAGGAGAAAAAATAATTTTGTCCTTTCTAGACGCAATCATAATATCCTTCTCTTCCGGATCTACCATCGCGGCGATGTCTTCGACATTAGCAATCCACCCTCACCGGGTTTCCCATTGGTCTCTGCCCTGGTGGCCTACTACCAACAACAGCGGCCCTTTACCAGCATTGACGCACCCATCCCGAGGCTATTGTATCCTGTGGTGCGAAACAATCTACTTGAATTGCCACCAAACCTAGTGTCCGTGAGCTCAGATCAGATCGTCAAGAGTTTGCTGACTGCATTGCGATCTACCTCAATAGAGTTGAATCAGTTACAGGTCAAGGCAAGCCATGTTTTGTTCTCTGCTGCACTCCCGCGAATTTTGTAACTGTGATACCAGATCTTCATAATTTGATCTCTTTATCTTCTGATCAGCTCTTGGGCAATGTAATCTTTGATATCTTGGGCAGATTTGAGACGGATTCGGGAAATTTGACTACTGATGCAATTTTATTGTTGCCTCCTGGATGTTCCTTGTTTTTATGCTCTTATTAATAAGTCATGGTGAGGAGGCAAGCGGTTTTAAGTTGCAATACGAAACTTTCAAGGTTATAAAACCTACTTAGGTCTTTCAATAAATTTTAGGTGCTTTTCCTCAACATCGCTTAGTTCTGCTGATTTTAAGCACTAAAGGCAGATATCCGATATTTATTCCAACTTACTGAATCATTTCAAAGGCGCATAATCTCTCCTCTAACACAGAGGAAACAGCCGAAAGAACTGGTCTCAAAAATTATTCTTTCGTTTTTAAACCCTACCTGTTTTGTGCCTCCACAGGTCGACGAGTTAAATCACCGATCGAGTGAATTAATGCACCAAATGGCTGTGACAGCCAGTCAGATTCTGGCCCTTAAACGTGCAAGGGAATGGCTGAAGAAGACGAACTCACAACTCTCTATCAACCAAAAGACTGTTAAGGGTGTCAGGTAATCTAGTTTCTTGTCTTTTTCGATTTTTTAGGTCATTTTTTGCTTGCCGACGATAAACTCACTTTCGGCAGCAGATATGGTGGAAAATAGGGGTTAGTTTTTGTCAGTTTCTTCATCACTTTCTATATCGACTCGCATTTCGCTGACAGGTAAATCTATGTAAAGGGGATGCTTGCGGTAATATCCACAACAAGGTATCTGGTCCTTTAGACAGGGATCATTCGAAAGATCGTCTCGTTATTGAGGATACTAGTTGACAACTTCAATCTGTGGAGACTTTCTATAACTACCATCCTAGTGAACTTGGCGTTGCTAAGGGCCTTCTCGAATTTTTTTGAAGTATTGCCTAATAACCTTCAATCGACAGCTCCGGTACTCATTTGTTTGCCTTTTCGCGTGTCTCAAATCCTCTTGAATATGTCCTTTCATCAAGACGTGGATAGTCGATTGGTGGGGAGCAGTGGCTTAGTATTCTCAGCGTGAAGGAGTCCTTTCGAATCAGTGGGATTTTGATTTAATGTTTTGAAATTCGATTGCCTATCTCGTAATTGCCTCATTGTTTCTGGACTTCCCATTTTAGTCAAGAAGCGTTGGAAAAACATGCTAACCTCTTGGAACAACGTCTGACTTGGACCAAATCAGCTCGTCAGGCTAAACGCCAACAGCACAAAAGCCTAATTGACCGGATCCGTGAGGTCTCCGAGAGCCTGGTGGTACTCTGCTCCCAAAAACACCAAGTCGGCCGTCGCATGCAGGAGATTAGACGCGAACTTAAACGTCGTGGTATCTCTGATGAAGTCATCTTTGCTTGTGACTCAGGCGCCACGGATTCCACCACATTGACGGTAACGACTGGGACGATGGAAAGTGCGGATAGCGGTTTGCAGTCATCTTCGACTTCAGCGCTGGCATTGCCACCCTTGGAGCGCTCTACGTGGTTCGCGGAGATGACGAGGCAGGAAGCCGAGGATGTGCTGTTCAACAAACCCTCAGGCACCTTTCTCATTCGACCCTCAGCCATGGCCAATAGATTCGCCTTGTCTATTAAGTTAGTTATTATTATCGCTGAGGCCTCGTGGATGTTGTTTGAATTCTACTTGACTGTTGGTTTGGTCATATTGGATCCGATTTTTCTTCTCAGTCTCCTTACATCAATAGGGTTTGCTAAACAAAACAGCACTTTTCGAGGTCACAAACTGTACCATTTTTCAGTTCAGTTCCCTGCTCCCACCATACACTTATACCATCCACTTTTCAGGTGGAGTAGTGGAGGAATCCTGCATAGGTCGTTAATACGATTCTTTCTAATGCTGCCGTGTGACTATAAATGTTTGACACAATGATTTGTAACCGGTTTGAGGACTTGAAAGTGCTTGCTGACGTATTATAAAATATCGGTGACGCCAACCTGACGCGATGTGATTTGAGCTTCTCTGCCGGACCAAATGAGTCTAGCTCAATCTCAAAGTTGCAGAAGCTTCCCGAAGCCTTTGTTGTGTAGCATTTTAAGAAAGTATGGTACGCGACAACAGAACACAGCGTCCAAAACTGGTCACTCAAAGGTGCTCACGAAGAAGTACGTCTGGCTCTTGGTTGCTGTAAATTGAGATTGACGTATCAACAGCACCTTTATCAACTGGAAATGCAAAGCCTTGGGCGATAAGCCATTTGGTTCCACACACATGCAACAACAGCAGATGGCAGAAAAGAAGCTTTAAAGACTGTTTTTATTCTTCGCCCTGTGCCGGTTGTGACGCGTCGTGTGGAACGGTATTCACATTTAACACTTGTTGAGAAAATGAACATATCCTTACGATCTTATAGTTAAAACATATAATTTCACGGATAATGGTTGGGCAAAAACCGTATGCAAGTGCTTGAGATCGGGCCATAGAAGTTAATAAGTTAACTTACCATATCTGTTTGGTTTTACTTTTCCTCTTTTTTGTAGAACTGGCCTCACTGTCCAGCATTGTCTCATCTACAGTGGCCGTGCTAATGACGATAGTGGTGACGCAACGTCACGTTGGGGCTTCTCAGAGAAGTCACTAGTTTTTTCCTCCCTAGAAGATTTGGTTGCCTTTTATCGGACTACCAGTCTGGCTAAATACAATGCTCTCTTGGACACAACGCTTGCCCTACCGGCCTTTGCATTGACATCCACTTCACCATTAGAAAAGACGCCAACGAAGTCGGTGCCGAATTAGGAGACCTCCCTCCTCTTCCCTCATCCTGCTTCCTTTTTTTGTACCTGTGCTCCACGACTCTACCTCTCATCGTGCTTTGCCATACACTGACGCAGATCGTGTGTTTGAAGGTAAGAGTGAAATATGAAGTTACTTTGCAGTTGAAATAGCGACGAAGGGAAAGAGTTTTAGACTATGTTAGTCGGAAAGAATGCAACCAAACCGGAATGTCATTATTCTCCATCTGCGCTTATTTTGCTCGTATCGAAGTTGACTGCAGAATAAATGAAGAAGCTACTCCTGTTTCGAAGCCGCATGTTAATGTTGGGGCCGTTTTATTAGAGTTATTTTGCGAAATGCGTTCTTGTTTCTTTTTTCAACACTTTAATCCCGGTGGGACATTTCCCTGTCTGAATTTGCGCATAACGCACATGCCTTCAATGTACTGTATCAAAAAAAATGAATTAGGTTGGCAAGGAAGGGGAAAAGGAGGCAAGCAACTCAGTGGAGGCATGTCACAGTCGTTTCTCCTCTGAGGAGGTTAATTTGAACAAGGTGCTAAGGAAATAATTAGGCAGCTGTTCTTCATTTCCTCCTCTTGCCCTTTTTTTGTCTGAAAGGATTGCTTAAATAATTAAGAAGATCCGCTACCTCCTTTGTGAATTTGGATGAAGGCAGCTCCATTCTTATCCGGTGCGATCAGCGAGCGGTTCATCTGACATCGGTATTAGAAAGGAAGGTGAGTGTGGGCGTATGGAAATTCGTCAGTCTATCGTTGGTGAGATGCTTCCCGTTTTGGTCTTGGCTACTTTCCTCTTCTGATCTCGTGCTCATCAGAATTTGAATGTAGTTCGAGCTTGTCTGCCTGATGAAGTGTCTTTAGTTCGGCTCTAAACCTCTAGAATCTTACAAAAGCTGTGTAGAATTTGGAGTTGTTGTAGAAGAAATTACCTTCCAGAAATGGTGTTGGAGCACTTGCACATTGATGATTTGGGTTGAAGTAACAAATTTTTTAGGCCTATAATATTATGCTCACAATTGCATTAGTTGGAAAGTCGTTGGAGCGGCTGAGAGAATGGATCCCACGTGGTCTGCATTGACACGAAACGTTAGGCTGGTTGCTCGTTGTTTACGTCGTAAAAATGTGCCCACTTGTTTTGCAAAATCCACAAACTACCTTTTTTTCACCCCATTGTTCTCGCCTCGAACTAGTATCTAGAAAGGTGTCGTGTGGAAGCAATTTTCTCAACATGTTAGAGCCATCTCGGGACATTCTGTTCCACTTCTTCGTGGCTGCTCCAGCCATCTCTGTGTGCATTCCATTCTGCAGTGAAATAGTTCACCTAGGTTTCATCATGTGTGTTCTTGTCAAATCTCTTTCATTAATCCGAGCTGGAGTTTTTAACTCTTCTGGGCTGGTCAGTTGAGTGCGAAAGGCCATATTGGTCCCCAACGTGTGCTAAGTTTTCCTAATTTTATATCCTCGCACGTAAATGAGTAGAGTGGAGTACGTCGTGTTGCGACTTTGTTTTCTCCAACAGACCAATCGGCGTGATTCTAGTGTGGCTTCGGCACAATGCAGGTCGTATGTCGCCCAGGCAAATGGAATCAGATCCGTGGTGTGTTACCTGAATACGTATGGAAACGACTGGTGTGCCGTGGGTTGAGACCACCAACTTTAGAGCTGAGTTCGTTACTGCCACCTGAATGTGGGCATGCATACATGCTTTTGGAAGGTTGAAATCATTTGGGTATCAACATAACCCTGGGTGACTGAGCGTGCCAACACGAGCATCGTACAGTACGTGCTTGAAGTCTTCTGCAGACACACGATGAATGTATGTGTGTATGATGTCCGTCATATTGACAATGGGTGACTGAACTGGTTCACCTATGGCATGCCGCCAGCTCTTCTTTCCTTGAGTGCACACATTTCTTTCTTTGCAAATTAAGTCTCACTTTGAGACGAACACACGATTCAAGAAGTTCGCTAAGCACACGATTTTAGGAGCTGATAAGAATAAATTTTCTTCCTTAAAGGGTGAATAGTCCCTTCTCGATTCTGATTAGAAGTAAGCATGAGCATAAGCTCCCTTTTTCGACCGTCTCATCAAGATTTTTTTGAAAAATATGTCCATTACTTAGGTTGTGGAAATTTTGATTACAGGGGTAGAAAATTGTAAAATTTTAAGCGGATGGCAAAGGGCCTCACAATTTACCTCTATCTCCCTCAATAATTCTTACCTGAGCTTTTGTTATTCCAATCGTGTCTGCATGAGACAGAATAATGCAGGGCGTGCTCCTCTTCACTATTTTAGTGCGTCTGCTAGGTGGGGCTTGAAAATGCACTATAACCTCTGTAAGAAGAAGGGAAATAGGAATCAATTATCATCTACTTGCCCTTCCTACATCGAGTTTATTGCTTTGTTGGCTTCGTTTAAATTGGTGCGCTCCAATTAAGCGGTGGACAGGTGAATTTTTATGGTTATTAGGAAAAAAAAACTTAAGGAGCTGCATAATCCTGTTTAAGTGGCACACAAGCTGGCAAATGCCACACTTACAAATCGTCTTGTCTTTGAGTGTAAGGACAAGCCTAGTCTTAGGCGTCTCCACGTCTGTCTCTTGTTTCTCATGCTACGAAAAGGCGAACATCAGCACCTGAGGGAAGTGAAAAGGGGATGTGGATGTTGAGGAGGGGGAGAAGCAGCATTTCTTTCATCATAAGTAAGAAATTTTTTGCAAGGCACCCCTGTGATAGTAGGATTTTGGGTCATCTTCTAAGAGCGGGACTTTGCTCCAGGGGATACATTAGTTCAGTCCGTTTCCGCAGAGGCTGTTTTAGTACTCAAATTGGATTTTATTTAGAAATTCATGATACGTATGCAGCCTCTGAGACTTATCCGATAGATTTTGACAGAACCATAGGCAGTTCTTGCTTGTAACGGGTAATCCCTTATTCAGAGTTAGAAATAGAATGAGCTTCTCGACGTAGTGCGCATCTCTCAATTATTCATTACCAGGATTTAGTTGTTGTTTTCCCACCTTTTCTGGTTGATACGTTCCGCAAGCGCATGTTGTACCTCTGCCACCTGCTATACATCATGTGATTGCAGAACTTTCCTAGCATTGGATGGAACAGGGCTGCAGCGCAGTGAATCTGGAAACCGCACTTATTTGGTTGGTTCTGCTGACATTTTTCTGCCAGTCAGCACGGATGTTTTCCAGCTTCCATACCAGAATAATCAGGGGGGAGGGTGATAATTGGAAGCACGCTAAAAGGCACGGCCAATGCACGTTTGACACATTCTTGCGTAATTATGGAATTTGGTTCACCTTGATCTCATGGGGTTTGGCAGCACATTGAAGGCCTATCTGTACGTGACATTGACTAACCAGGGGAGACTGAAAGAGAGTGCCAGTTTTGAGACTTTCTAGCATATCCGGAGAATAGGTGCGCAAAAGAAAACTTTCGGAAGCATTTAGAAAGGTCTTTGGGGGTCAAAGGTTATTGAAAGGTATCGGAGACTGCATCAACAATCACTGTATCCATGGAAAAAGGCATATTTACGTCTTATAATGCGTGAATGCACTATAAAACAACAAATGGTTGGAGTGAATTATGTAAAAAGAACTTCTTTCGTCAATTAAATTGTCTACCTAGCACATACTTGAGGAACATAAAGCTGCTATATAACGGAAAACAGACAGACCCATGAACACCAGGGCTTTTAGTTTCGCCTTCTAATCAACGCGTTCTCAACGACTGATGCAAGGGAACTTTATCCTCATGAATGCAGGGGTCGACGGAGCTGAATTTGAGTTTCTGAATCGCCTACACACCCACCCCACGCATACGTCCTCTGCTTGCGATATGCAGACTATCCTAGATCCTACTTCCTCCTTAAATAGCCGTCATCCCTAATGGACGGCACCTCCTCCCTTCGACAGTAAGGGCCCTCATATCGCCAGACAAATACTTTTAAGTTGCGCCTCGATGCTGTCAATTCCCATGCCTTATAATTCATTACTATTTCATGAACGCTTTCCGAGCATTCTCATTCACTTGCTTTCATAAAGGAAGCATTTGAGACAAAGTGAATGTAACACATACTCAAATCTCTCTTCATTTAAGTTCGCTCCAGATTAATGTCAGAACCTAATGCTGAAGGAAGGAAGGTACGTCAACCACCAAAACCTCCAATATGAGAGAAATGCTCATTTAAGAAGATGGAGAAGAATAGCAGTTTGCACAAAGCCCACCTACCAACCATCCAACCTACCTAACAGGAAATGTTTTTTGAGTACTTCCTACAAAGATAATGGATAATGACTCCATCAGTTATAAATGGATCTACATTTGGCTATAAAGTGAAATACTTGCCACATAACCGGAAGTAAATCTGACAGAGGAATAACTGAAGATTGGTTCGGCTTCAGGGTTTCCCTGGAACAGCAACATTGTTAAGTTACTATCACGAAAAGTCCAAAAAACCGGAAAAACTAAACCAATTCCTTAAATAATTTAGGAAGAATTAACAAAATTTAAAGCTCCAAGAGACATCGTAACGACATGCGTATTCACATACTTGGCCGTAGGATCAAATAAAGAGTTGACTTGATAAAGGGACCTTATTTACTAAAAAATTACAATCACAGTAATGTAAACTCTTCCTAATAAAATAAACACTTTCGAACTCTAGTTTAATAAAAGGTCACTTTATCCCTCTAAAAGCAGGCAATGTGACTTTAGCTTCTTCCATCGGTAGTTCACTTTTGCTGCCCTACTGGTTCTGTTTTGCATCTGGTGGTCTCGGAAGAAATATGAGAGAGAAATGAAGAACAAAGGGAAAGCGGTATGTACCTCCCAAGATAAGGCTAAAATTTCCTTAGAGTCAGGCTTTACGAAGGTACTGCCTAGCCTTCAGCGAATAGAGCCATATTGAGTAGACAGATGCTAGGCATTAAAGTTGTTTGACAGTCTTGTTTGGAGTGTATCACAACAAAGCAAGTTGGAGGGTTTT